ACTTAAGTTAGCTAATAAACTGTCCTATTGCATTTGCATTGTCGTGGGTTGGCATATTCTTCTCTTCCGAAATTCTCCTTTACAGCCTGGGTACAACATCAGAAGGTACCATTCTCTGCAAAAGGATGTCATGCTTGGTAAAGTGGAAGGTCAACAAAAGAAGGGGAGGCCCTCAGCAAGATGGACTGACACGGTGGCTGCAGAGATGGGCTCAGGTATAGTAGGGATTGTGACGCTGGCACAGGACCAGGCAGTGTTTCATTCTGTTGTACATAGGGTGGCTATAAGTCAGAGATGACTCAACAGCACATAACAACAACAACAATATTCATTGTAAGTAATTGTGTAAGTTACAAACTTCATTATTAGTTCTTTACTCCACAATCACTATAAAAACAATATATTCACATCATGACCAGTGACCATCACGTCATTTCTTTCAAAGCCTGTCAATGATTAGTCACTGCACATTTGTTATTCAGTGCACACAGCAAAGCTATAATTATGTTGCCTCCTCATCTCCCAGTGATAAACCCACAAGACATTTTACAAAAATTGATTATCCAAAGAGACAAATGGCCAAAAAAGATGAAAATACAATAAAGAAACAAAATGTAATAATCCTGGAAATGAAATTGGATCTGATTAGAAGATCTGAAAATGTCAAAGTCAAAGCAAAGACGTGAAAGTACAATCTATATTGAAAAAATTCAGGGATCTCTCCTTGTACTCAACTACTAAACTAAAGGCTGGCAGTTCAAATCCACCCAACAGTGCTAGTGAATAAAGCCCTGGCAATCTGCTTCCATAGCTCTGGTGGCACAGTGAGTAAGGCATTTGGCCGCTAACGAGAAGGTCACCAATTCAAACCCATCAGCTGCTCTGTGGCAAGAAGATGGAGCAATCTACTTTTGTAAAAATTTACAGCCTTGGAAACCCAAAGGGGGTTCCTATGAGTCCAAATCAACTCTATGACAGTGAGTCTGGTTTTGGTTCTAATTTGCTTCCATAAAGAAAGCCAAGAAAACTCTATGGAGCAATTAATTCTTCTTTATAAAACGTCAGGCCATCATGAGTCAGAATCAACTTGATGGTAATAAGTAGGTAAGGTAAACTCACTTCAACAGGATTCAAATTGAATACACAGGCAGTGCCCAGATTACTACTGTCTGTTTTACATACAACTTGTTGTTATGAACCAAATCTTGTATAGCCTATTATATTAGAAACACTGACACTTCTGCCATTAAAAGAGCTCTAGCTACGTAACCAGAAGAACTTAGTGAAGGTGAACTTACCAACATAAATGAGGAAAACAATTGGGATGAAAAGGATGAAGATATCCCAGAGGAAGTGATGTGGGCAAAAATTTCATATGAAAGGAACTATCAGAGATATTTTACAACTTTGAAAGGGCAAAGCATAAAATGCTGGAATCTAATCCAAACTCAGAAAGGAATCTGACAATTTTCCAAGGCATAGAAAAGATGCTCATTCTGTATCTTAAGTTATATGATGAGAAGAGAGCAACCATTGTTAAAACTATTCTTGATAAGTTTTTAAAAAGAAATAAAACACCTTAATTCTCAAGTTTTATAATGTTCTAAATTACAGTATACAGAATAAATATCAATTTTACTGTTTTTTCATTTTCCTATTACCTTTATATTCAATAGTAAGAGAGTTTTTAATGCCTCGAGAAAAAAATTTAAAGGTCACAGAGAAATTGCAATTTTCTGAAGTCATTTTATATGCTTTCAGCTTGCATGGCTATTTTTATGGTCCTGAACTACTATGTGAGCAAAGACTGCCTGTATTACTGATGCCTAACTTTCTCTTTCACAGTTTTCAGTTATTGTGAGTTATGTCATTTTGGAAACTGTCATCTATTACATGCTAGTGTAACAGCTACTCCCCTTCTAAATACATTTCAAAAATCACCTGCACTACCTGCAAATATAATACTAAAAGACACCCTTCTCCTAGCCAAACCCAAGCATAGGACAGAAAAGCATCAAGTACCTGGCAGTGGTAACTGAACTAATATACCACTGACGGTTGGGTCCATGTTCAACTGATCAATTATATCCAAAAGTTCTTCCTGAGAAACATCTTTAGATTTAAGAATGATCTCACTGCAGATACCTAGAAGAAAATAAGCAGAGAAAGTCATTTGACTAATAAAGACATGGGATTTTGTTTGTTTGTTTACAAATCTAACAATTCTCTTCAATTTTTTTTTTTTTGATTGTATTCTTTTGCTCCTGTTCCACTAGAAGGAAAGACACTTCTGCAAAGATGGTGCTCAACTCACCATGAGGAGAATTTTTCAATTATTAGAGATGTTTTCTCATAATTCATATAACAAATTGCTCTTATTTGTGATAAGCTACTCTCTCCCAGGACTCTGAATCAACCCGACAATATCAACAACAACTGTTAGCAGATGGAGAAATTCATGGTTCAATGGTAGAATTTTCATCTTCCATGTGGGAGACGCAGGTTCTATCTCTAGAAAATATACTCATTGTACACCCAATACCCAGTGGTGGTTTGCATGTTGCTATACTTGACTGTTAACCAGAAGGCTGGCGGTTCAAACCCACCAGCCACTCCTCGGAAGGAAGGTTGGGCAATCCTACTTCCGTAGTGATACTGCCTCGGAAACCCAAGGAGGGGTCGCTATGAGTCGGGGCCGACTCGACGGCAAACAACAACAACAACAACATAATGCTGAATAGACTTCAGTAGCACTTCTAGACCAAGATGGACTAGGAAGAAAGAGCTAGCCATCTACTTCTGAAAACTCAGGCAATGAAAACCCTATGGGTCACAGTGGGACCATGTCTAGTCCATAACTGTCGATGAGATAGTGCAGAATTAGGCAGTGTTTTGTTACATTGTACAGGAGGTCACCATTAGTTGAGGGCTGACTCGACAGCCACTACCAACAACACTATTAGTAGATTTAAAGAGTTAGGTAATTATCACCACCACCATTACTAGAAGATCAAGTTCCACAGAGTGAACTAGAGCAGATTTATTATTTGATTAAAGCAAACAGAGTAAAGACAGGCCCTCTAAATATATTCATCTGACATTTTACCATAGAGTCTGAGATCACATCTGATTGATTCTATGTTATTGTTGTTGTTAGGTGACATCAAGTCATTTCCGACTCATAGCGACCCCATGCACAGCAGAACAAAACACTGCCCGCTCCTGCGCCAGCTCCATGATCCCTGCTATACTTGAGCCCATCATCCTGAAAAAGCCAGGAACCTGGATTGATTCTATAAGAAATGTGAAATAAAACAGTAAGAGAAATAAACACAAACTTTGGCAATATCTCTAATGATTGAAAATACATGTTATTTAAACATCACTTATCTGACAGTTATCAATCATAATTACCGTAATTATCATATTCCTGAAAAAAGGAAACACACTTAGGAACAATGACAACTAAAACACATACCCACCTACAGTGGAGGCAGCTCTTATCTTATTTCTGACGTATGTGTGGCTTGCAGGGTTGTCTCCCACTAGGATGATGCTGAGATGAGGTCTTCTGTTCCCAAGGGAAATCCATGATTCTACATCTCTCTGTATTTCTTTCCGGACTTGTTTGGCCATTTCAGTTCCTGAGATAATAATGGCTTCATGTCTATAGAAAACAAAAGAATAAATGGAGTACTAAAAAGACAATAAGGAACATTCAACTGCATACATTTAAAGTACAAGAGTGAGCAAAACATACATGATTTTCCAAATGAGCACACAAAATTTAATTTGTTTCAATTTTATTTGACATGTAGTCTTCAGGTTTATAAATATGTTCATAATTGTGTGAAAGATTCCAACTCTGCCTTTTAGTTCTACATTATATATCTATCTACAGCACATATTTCCCAATAATTTTCATTTCTGTATTTTTAAAATTGTCAAACTACAAACTCAAGAGATATAGACTATAATATTGACTCTATTAAAGGTTCTACTGTTTTTTAAGAAGAGGTAGATCAGTACAGTATAGTTAAAACTAGCACTCATCTTCAAAGCTCCACTTTAGGTTACATAAAGATAACCCTACCACTCCTATAAAGTACCCAGCCTAGGAAACCCTATGGGGCAGTTCCATTCCGTACTATAGGGTCACTAAAAATCAGATTCAGTCAAGACACGACAACAACAACTGTCTTGTGGCTCTAATGATCAATTAGTTCATTCCTTAGGTTGGCAGACCTTGAAAAAGAATCTGAAGTAATAAGCTCCATAATACACAACTCTTTTAAGTTTACTCAAGAAAGGTTTTATTCCACAGATGCAGGCCAACTCTTAATAGCTCTACTCTTACCAGGTTTGCCATTGATTATGGTAGAGACCAGCTCAGTAAGTACATGGCTAAATTGTTCCCCAGAACCTGACATCATTTAATAGGAAATCTTTATACAGAACATTGTTTCCTAATGGTTTATAAGTACTTAATGTGATGGTCCCTTTCAGATCACTTACACTATCAGTGATAGGAAAATATCCACATGCCTGCAAGGAGGACCATAATGCGACTGTTATTCAAATTTACACATCAACCACTCATGCCAAACATGAAGAAATTAAAGATTTTTACCAAATTCTGCATCCTGAAATAGACCAAATATGCAATCAAGGTGTATTGATAATTACTGGTGATTGGAATGTGAAAGTTGGAAACAAAGAATAAAGATCAGTAGTTGGAAAACATGGCCTTGGTGATAGCAATGATGCTGGAGATAACATGATAAAATTTTGCAAGATCAATAATGTATTCATCAGATACACACTTTTTCAACTGAAATGGCAACTATACACATGGACCTTGCCAGATGGAATACACAGGAATCAAATCTAGGACATCTGTAGAAAAAGACGATTGAGAAGCTCAGTCTCATCAGTCAGAACAAGGCCAGGAGCCAACTGTGGAAAAGATCATCAATTTCTCATATGCATGCTTAAGTTGAAGCTGAAGAAAATTAAACCAAGATTATGAGAGCCAAAGTAAAACCTTGAGTATGCTGTTGTTGTTAGGTGCCATTGAATCAGCTCTGACTCACAGCAACTCTATGTACAACAGAGCAAATCACTGTTTGGTCATGTGCCAACCTCACAATCTTTGCTAAACTTGAGCCCATTTTTGCAGCCACTCTGTCAACCTATCTTATTGAGGGTCTACCTCTTTTTTGCTGACCCTCTACTTTCCCAAGCATGATATCTTTCTCCAAGGAACTGTCCCTTCTGACAACATGACCAAAGTTCGTGAGATGAAGTCTGGCAATTCTCACTTCCAAGAAACATTGTGGCTGTACTTCTTCCAGGACATATTTCTTCATTCTTCTGGTAGTCCATGGGTCAGGTACACCTTAGTCCTCAAAGTGACCTTTGCTTTTCATCACTTCAAAGAGGTCTTTTGCAGCAGATTTTCCCAATGCAATACATCATTTGATTTTTTGATTGCTTCTTCTATGGGCATTGATTGTGGATTCAAATAAAAGGAAATCCTTGACAACTTCAATCTTTTGTCCATTTATCATGATGTTGCTTATTGGTCCAGTTGTAAGGATTTTCCTTTTCTTTATCTTGAGGTATAATCCATACTGCAGACTGTAGTCTTTAATCTTCATCAGTAAATATTTCAAGTCATCTTCACTTTTAATAAGCAAGGTTGTGTCATTTGCATATCACAGGTTGTTAATGAGTCTTCCTCCAATCCTGATGCCACACTCTTCTTCATATAGCCCAGCATCTCAGATTATATACAGATTAAGTATGTTGAAAGGATACAACCCTAATGCACTCCCCTCATGATTTTAAACCAGGCAGTATCTCCTTGTTCTGTTCGAATGACAGCTTCCTGGTCTACCTACAGGTTCCCCATGAGCACAATTAAGTGTTCTGGAATTCCCATTCTTCTCCATGTTATGCACAATTTAGTATGATCCACACAGTCAAATATTTTTGCATGTTGTTGTTATGTGCCATCAAGTCAGACTTGACTCATAGCGACCCTTCCTTGGGTTTCCGAGGCAGTATTGCTACGGAAGTAGATTGCCCCATCTTCCTTCCACAAGTAAACATCTTTCTGGTATTCTTTGCTTTCAGCCAAGATCCATCTGACATCAGGAATTATATTCCTTGTTCCACGTCTTCTTCCATATCCAGCTTGCATTTCTGGAAGTTTTCTGTCAATATACTACTGCAACCATTTTTTAATTATCTTCAACAAAATTTGACTTGCATGTTCTACTAATGATATTGTTCGATAATTTTCCCATCATGTTGAATCCCCTTTCTTTGGAATGGTTACAAATATGAATCTCTTCCAGTCAGTTGGCCAGGTAGCTGTCTTACAAACTACTTGGCATAGATGATTAAGTGCTTCCAGCACAACATCCATTTGTTGAAACAGCTCAACGGGTGTTCTGTCAATTTTGAAGGCTTGTTTTTTGCCACTTCCTTCAGTGCAGCTTCAACTTCTTCCTTCAATACCATTGGTTCTTGATCATATGCCACCTCCTGAAATAGTTGAACATTGACCAATTCTTTTTTGTACTGTGACTCTGTGTATTCCTTCCATCTTCTTTTGATGATTCCAGCATCATTCAATATTTTGCCCATAGAATCTTTCAATATTGCAACTCGAGGCTTTAATTTTTTCTTCAGTTCTTTCAGCTTGAAAATTGCCAAGCGTGTTATTCCCTTTTGCTTTTCTAACTCCAGGTCTTTGCGTATTTCATTATAATAACTGACTTTGTTTTCTTGAGCTGCTCTTAGAAATATCTTGTTCAGCTCTTTTATCTTGTCATTTCTTCCATTTGCTTTAGCTACTCTTTGTTCAAGAGCAGTTTCAGAATCTCTTCAGACATCTATTTTGGTCTTTTCTTCCTTTCCTGTCTTTCTTTTTATTGTGCTTTGGGTGCAAATTTACAAAGCAAATTTGTTTTACATACAACAGTTAACACACACTTGATTTCACACAGATTACCATCTCCAACCATAAAAATTTTTCCTCTCCTCCCTTCCCTGTGACTATCCCCCTCCTGTGCCCTTCTTAACATGCATTCCTATCTGTCCAGCTTTCCCTCTATGTGAGTGCTGCCCCCCTGGTGTCTCATGGCTGATTGCTCTAAGGGGTGCATGTCCCTAGAGTAGGTGAGTACATCACCCTGGGGTAGGTGTTCTGCAGGTAGACCTTTCTACTGTTGAGTTGAGAGACAATCCATGGAAGTGAGTCCATTTTCAGGCCCAAAGGATAACCCAGAGCCATAGTCTCAGGGGTTCCACCAGTCTCTAGCTGACCAGTAATTCTGGTCATTTTTTTGTTTTTGAATTTTGTTCCACATTTTTCCTCCCACTCCATCCAGAATCTCCAGTTTTGATCCTTTCTCAAGTGGTTGGCATTGGTAGTCTAGTTATTCTGTTCTCAGGGTCATGAATGCTGAGGTCCTTGCAGTCCATCTTATCCTTGGACTAAATGTTCACAGATGCCTTTGATTTTCTTCAGTCTTCTTTGTTTCAGATGAGAGAACACCAATAGTTGCATCTTAGATGGCCACTTGAAACTTTAAGGCCCCAGTCACTATTCACCAAAGTAGGTTGTAGAACAAGATTTTTATGTATTATGCTGTGCCAACTGAGCATGATGTCCCCTGAGACTATGGTCCCAAGTCTGCAGGCCCAGTGATTCTTTCTCTTAAGGTTTGGTTGTCTCTGAGAAGTTACTCCAACTCTGTCTTCTGTTGTTTCGGTAATGTATGTGGCTAATTTTGTAGCAAAAGTGCATATGTAAGATGTCTTCAACCAAATATACCCTTGTTCTAGGGTATATTCCTGTTTGCCTATACCCACCTCATCTACTCATTTCATTTAGCCTGGTGTTTGGTCTTTGTGGTAATGCAGCTTTGTGCATGTACTAGTATTTGCCTCTGTTGCCTCTATCTTATGTGCACATTTCAGTGTCCTTCCCTTCCCCAGTGTCATCACGCTGGTCACAGACTCTTTCCGTACCATCCCCCATTCCTGTCTTTTTAATGATCTTTTGCTTCCTTCATGTAGATCTAGGCGATAGAGTCTCTCAAAAGTTCCCGGCAATTCCTTAGTCTCATTAAGTGAGAGTCCTGTTATGTTCTGTGACAGAAATTTTATCAGGGATGGTATAGATTTTTTTTTTTTAAGCTACAAAAAATGGAAACTCTAGATATAAACGTAGTTGAATTTTATATTAGAACTAAGAACTTTTAATCCAAAATAACCATATAGTAAGTGAAAAGATAAGCCACATACTAGTAATATTTACCATGCATATGCAACCAATGTAAGATTCATGTTCAGAATGTGTAAGTAACTACTAAAAATTAGACACAGATAAATAACCCCATACAAAAATGATCCAAAAAGATGAAGATGCATTCCACAGAAGAATAATTCCAAATGGCCAGCAGTAAACATATGATAAGATGTCCAAACTGTACTAGTTAGGGAAATACATGCCAAAACCACAATGAAATGCCATTTAACTAATTGTTTAATGTTTAAAACTTTAAAAATTTTAAGTATTGATAAAGGACTGGAGCAACAGGAACTCTTATAAACCACTAGTGGATATCTGAACTACTGCAACCACTTTG